TTTTTTGACTGTTATTTCATTATTTCAATCGTCATATTTGATTTCTTCTATCAAGTGAACCCACATTTCTCTTAACGATCAAAAAATCAATTTTCAGAGTCCACAAACAATGTATTATTAAAATTCCCATTTCAATACCATAGTTTCGTGTCAATCCTCAGCCCAATAACTGCCGAAAAGAACTGGAGCAATGGATATACACCAACAGGCTCAATCTTCTGTCGGTGAATTCCGCCATGGCTTCCGGCTCTGAACTTCCTCTACATTCACCAGAAACGACGTCGTCGGCTATGGTGGTGGCGGAAAAGGAGGAGAAGCCGTTGGGGGAGAGAGTATCAGCAGCAGCTTTGTCAATTTATAATTCTCTTCCCAAAAAAGGAAAGCCTCAAGGGGGTGAAGTCACTGTTTTAGCGGCTTTTCTCCTCTCCAATCCGTCTCAAGGTTAATATTATTTATTTTTCTGTAGTCAACATTTTAACCTATGCTATAATTTTACTCTTTTTAACAAAATTTTCTGCTTCTCTTATTAGAGTTACAAGTGGTGGCATTGGGCACGGGAACAAAATGCATAGGGCACTCACGGCGGAGTTCGAGAGGCGAGGTCGTGAATGATTCGCACGCCGAAATTATCGCCAGGAGAGCTCTTCTTAGGTTCGATTTCATTTTCGCAGCAATTAAGCATGTTCAATTGTCTAACTTTTCAATGCCTGGTAACTTGGAAGTTCCAAAAAATGTATACGGATCTTGATTTTGATAATTTTTGTTTGTGATTCCATTTAATTAGATTGAAATCTCGTTACTATGTGCATAGTATGAAGTGATATTCGTGAGTTTGCTTAGTGTTTCTCGACTACCTCTCATAAGAAAATTGAGTTAATTACTAAATAACTAGCTCGCCATCCCCAATGAAGGGAAAGAACAGATGAAGGGTTGATTGAAAAAGGGAAAAGGACAGGCCAAGCAACTTCAACAGTTTCGATGGTTGCATGCTTCTGATTGAACACTATTCACAATGAATATTGGAAAACGACTCCTTTTTAATCCTTCAAGCATATGTTGCCTATGTTTTCAGCTCATTATAGTAATTCAAAAGGAGAATAGATAAAAGAAATTTGTGGTCCATTGTCATCAAGTGACAGGTGAGCTAGTCTTTTTTTTTTTTTTTTTTTTTTTTTTTTCTTAAAAATTTTTTTTTTTTTTTTTTTTAAAAAAAATAAAGATTTTTTTTTTCTGGTATTGTTACTTCATGTTCTTGG